TTACCGGCTCATCAATTTGAAAAAGATTCTATACAATCGTTAGATTTATTCAAATGTCGGCATTCAACTTGTTGTCTTTTATCAAAGAGATTGATAGATACATGACGATTGTCTACGTTTCAATATGTCTGGAAATCAGTTCTTTTGTATTCACAAATAGTTTATGAAATAATTATTAACTTCACAAGTTTAAAAATATGTCCTGTAAAAATTCAAGGTGTAATTGAAAGTACGTCTGAGAATAGTTTGTTAAAAATAAGCTTAATATAGTCGTAATATTATACAATTGAACGAGTAATACGATAAGTGATTCGCTTTTTAAAATACTTCAACAAAGAAAAGTTGTCATACAAGATACATATCAGTAATTAAATATATACCTACTGTCTTCTTAAATTATGTTTATAATGAACTATTAATATAATTACAATTTTTACAGTCTACTTACAGGGATTTTTTAATGAAAATAAGTTCATAAGAAAAAATTCCAGACCTTAGGTGTAATTATAAGTAAGTAAACTACATATTTCATAATCCCTATTTCATAAAAATTACTGAAATACAATTGATTATTATGAAAATTGAAGTACCTATACTAATATAAGAATTTTTAAGAATGTATGTGTAATCAGAGAAATGAAGTGAAAGACTACTTGTTAATAAACACCTTCGTACGTGACTTAGTCGTATTGTAAGAAAACCGATGGAATCTAATCTTTGTGTTGGCATAATCAAAAATATTTTTGTTATAAAATGGAAAGTATGAACAATAAATTTAGATACAAATCGCAGAATTGACATCGTTTTTTGTTTAACCGTAGACGAAATGCGAGAGCAAATCTGGAATCATTTGTCGCCCAATTGTCTAATTTCCTTTGTAAAAAAATATTGCAAGTTTTGAAATTACGTGACGTTTAAAGTCAAATAAATGTAAACCACGTTATAAATATTTACATCAAACATTTGCCTTACAAAATTCCAATTATCGTTCATTTAATATCGTAAAAAAACGTTGCCCAATCGCTGTTACATATTATATATTTTTAGATAGATATCTAATATATAAGATATGAATGAATATCTTTGAAATGTCAGGATGAAAGGGATTCCGATTGATTTTAAAATTAGCCAATTAGTGCTCTGGTTAGTATAAAGTATAGTATAATGAGACTTGCAACTTCAAGGTAGCCAGATAACAAAACTAACACCAAAAAATTAGATTAACTTCGGTTTAAACAGCGTAAATTAGTTTTATTTTTTAACGAGGACGTAGTGTCGTGTATACTTAAATGCTGTATGTACCTTTTAGCTCATATTAAATCATCCTAACTTCGAATGATAACAAAGAAAAGGAAATAGTGTCATCCTTCGTCCTATCATGATGATAATCACAAAATAAACAACATACATAATGTTGCTCTTTGTTTATTCCAGATATAATTTCTTACTTTTGTCGGAATAAAAATATGCACAATATTACTTTAATAAACTATATTTTTTATGTCGGAATCTAGATTGCTCAACATTATTAAATCCGTCACCGATGCTATAACAAGCAGGTACTTTACCAGCAGCTTCCGACGATCTATAATGGCTAGAAACACTTGGCTTAGTCGTTCACACAAAGTAAAACCATACTATAAAATTGTCATAAATACCAGATGCAATTTTTAAATTAACTTGTAAACGTGTTCGTATAAAATAATAGTAATATGTACATATACTTTTTCTGTTTACATGAATGTTATCTGTTATATCAGGTGCGTGTTACATTACTTATACACTTTATATTTCAAGAACGAAATGTTTCATATGAATCTGTCAGTTGTAAGACAAAAGATTCCAAAGAAATGAGATTATATTTTATTTATATTTTATTTGGCGCTACAAAAATGTAGTTAAAACTTTAAATCAAACCTTATTATACTAGTTACCTATATTACTCAACTAAAAAGATATTTTTAAATAATTAAAATCAGTCATCTTAGTCTGGAGATAAAATAATATAGAAATTAAAAAATAAATAAAAACTCGGCAAGCTATCCGGCAAATCTCGATGAGTTATTAGAAAAAAAAAAACCCTAAAACGGCGGGAACTTTAGCTCGTAAATAATATTAATGTTCCTGCCGAGTCTCCGCGTAATCCCTGGGCATTCGAAACGCAGGTCCGTTGTCCGCGTCCGTAGAACATGGCGGGATGCTGCGCGCTACTACCTCCGGGCGTAACCCTGCCAAAGCTCCCGACCTCCAATTCGCAACACAAACAAATATCATGTATAAAACAAGCACTAATTATTTTTTTAAAAGAGTTTTTATACACTTAAAATGAACGTACAGTGGAATGTGAGCGATGAGTCGACGTGTGGCGTCGACGGCGCGGCTCGCGGGATACTGGCAGCCTCCGAGGGCGGGCGCGGGGCTGCGCGGGCCACGCTTTTCATTGAGCCGTGGAGCTCTGGGCCGCCGCCCCGCCCGAGGAAAGCTCAGCCCTTTATCCCCGTAGCCGGGAAAACGGCGTACACACGTAGTAACCAGTAATTAATCTGTACAAGACCTTGTTTGATGAAAACCTCGGCGATATTGCATTTATACAACGAAATTACTAATGGCTGACATTGTATTTTGTATTTGATATTGTTTATTTGCTCATTATAGTACTCTCAAAGTTGACGGTATTAATTTATCAACATAGTTAATTTTTTTTTTTGTGTAATTATTAGCGTGCTGCGTAAGTATTAAATACTTATTTTATGAAAAACATAATGTCAAAAGTTAACAAATTGAAACCAGATAAGGATAATGAAACTGACTACATGAATAAATGAATAAATCGGATCACTACGTTGGCGGCCTGATATTACCTATATTTTCAACGTTAACACTTCGACGCTGGAAAGCAAACGCGTAGTAGTAACCCGCGGCCCAAAATTATTCTTCTAAGCAGAAAAACTTTTATTTTTTTGAAAAATAATTCTTATAAATGTCGGTGGTATTAAATACGGTGTCCATAAGTTTTTTTTTTTTTAAACATATATAGATTTTTTATTCTTGGTTTTGAAAGTTAGGTAGGTACGTGTTTGCTTTCCAGCGTCGACTTAAAGCCAATTAAACTGAAGTCCTGCGGTTATCATTTTGATAACTTACAGAAAACCTCCGCCCGATTTTAATAGGAATTTCTTGAATAATTAAACCGGTTTTATAATAAGTTTAACTCACTTCTATTAACTTTCAAGTCGGTTCTATTTTTTGAAAGAATAAAATATTTTATTATTTTAAGAGAGTACGTAACTTAAATATTTGTTCTTTAGTTAAGTAAGAAGGCATCACTAAAAATTAATTACTTAAATAAATATTAAAAACACAACTGCCAAAATAGAATTAAAAATAAATAAAAGAAATTTGATGGCATGGCTAAAACCTCTTTAATGTATTTAAAGAGGTGTTCCACATAACTGCCGACTGTAATGAACATTTTTATATCGTGTTTTTTTAATTTTTAAAATTATTTATTTTTATTTTACTTGTTCCTTTTAGTGAGCACTCAATTATGTATACAAATATATATGTTTGAAATCTACTCATTTGATACCCATATTGTTATAATAAAAGAAAAAATATTGTATATTTAGGTATTATTTTTTATGATAGCGTCATACATTCGTCATATTGAATATTTAAAAATACATTGCTGTCAAACAGAACTTTTGGATTTGAAAAACGGTTTCAATGTATCAAAGACCATAGTGCGCCGTTTTACTCGAATGACCTTTTAAAAAACGCGATGGTAGTTGGGAAAATTATGTACCTGCAATATCTTTGCTCTCACAGTAACCTACAGGTTTCTGAGCCTTAATGATTGCTTTTCAATGAACCAAGACATTTCTTACATATTTTTATTAGTTTGATATTTTATTTGATACCCGAAGCTTGATGGCGTATTTGAAATCGTTGATACCCACTAATTGGTTTGCGTAATTTGTTACTGCCCATTTTTCCCTATCTTTAATAGCCCTGTGCCCCGGAGTGGACTAAGCTTAAGGCAGAGTAGGCAACTGCCTAGGGGCCCCGCATCCACCAGGGGCCCCGTGTGCTCAAGTCAAAGAAATCTGAAAATACTCGCCAAGAAAAAAGGTTACAAAAAATTCTATATCGTCTAAAGTATAGGGGTCCCGAGAATGGTATACTGTGCCCACAGAAAGGATAATATAAAGATAAATGTAACCATTTAGATAATTCCCAAAACGTGAAGTAACTGAAGGACAGTTCTGTTTCTTATAGTGGTAGCTTTTAGCTCCATTTTTTTGTCAACAATAAAACAGCTTCGTCAAGTGTATTTGAACTTAATTTTAAGTACAATACGGTTTCACCCTGCATGAAACAGCTATCATCAGGACGACGTGAGCAGATCGAACATATGTAAGTATATAGGTACTTTGTAAAGGACAGGTTCTAGCACTGGACCCTGAGAGACTGCCTTCTCTTATTTTCTTTGAATCGGATAAACTTTCTGCAACTCATATTTCAAGAGGATGACGTAACGGAACTTGTGAGGTTACAAGTATTTAGTAAGCACGGCTTAGATAATTATTTATTAGTAGTAAGACCTGGCTGCCAGCCATACTGCTGCGTTATATATTGGTGAAATGACAAGCAATACTCATAACAACTTTACATTGCCTTTAAATTAAATCCCTAGACCTCGAGTTATATCCAATTCCTTTCATTAAACCATACATAAAATAAGTACTACAACTTGATATATTTTTAATGAAGTATTTATAAATAATAAGAAAGCACCAAAAAAGCACCTCCACTAGATGGCGACTCTAGCAAAAGTTGATTTTTGCTGGAAACGAATGGACCAAAGATAAGTCATTTCCGTTCCTTAAATATTAAGGAACGGAAATTCGCAAAGTTCGAAACTTAGATTCGAAATACGAAAAAGTTCAAATAGAATATGAGTTGTTTATTGAGTTTTGAAAACTAATTTACTTTTATACATGAAAGAAAACCAGAAGGATTGTCATATAGAAATCAAGAAAATATGTATCCTGAACTAAAATTGTTCGTAGTGAAATACATGGAATAAAAAAGGTCGTCGTTAATGAAAAGGGTCTTAAGAAGGTTCAAATCCATTTAATGTCACGAGTAAGCTTTCAATATGGGTTAATCCGTATTTTGGAATTAATTAGCTCTTTATTAACTGGCTTCAGCTTAAGATCTATTTTCGCTCATAAAATATAACAAACGGAACATTCCGCTATTCTTAATATTTGAAATATTAAATGCTAAATTTTTACATTTACAAGTAACACTTGAAATTATTTCTTAGTTTTCTGCTTCCGAGGTTTCTTTTTTTTCTTCGGTAATTGTGTCTCAGATGAATTAGCTGGTCTTTTTAATGGATTACTTTTTATGTTTTTCTGTTTTTTGGGTTCTTCAACTTCAGATTTCTTATCTGCATTTTCTTTAGACTGCTCCTCTGCTTTTTCTTTAGGCTGCTCATCTTTTTCTTTGTTTTCTGTTTCCTCATCATCTTCATCTTTTACTGGTTCCGGCTGTAATATTAAAATCTAGTATAAATATTTGTTATAAACTTTCAAGTACTACCTAAAAACTAAAAAAAAAAAATGCAGTAGAATAGAAACATTAAAATAACACCAATATTATTTGGCAAGTTTATGAGATATAGTACACCTCACACAAAAATATCTGTTTGCATATTTTTGTGTGAGGTGTAGATTTATTACTTTTAGTAAATCATTAATTGTAGTTAAAAGTATCCCAAGTATTATAGCTAAGGATAATCATTACCTATTTCTAATAAATTTAACCTAAATTTAACCAAATACTATTACCAAAAAATTAGTTAAGTACTTACAATGACATTTGAGAATTTCTTGAGTTTAGCCACAAAGAATCCATCCATGTTGTGAGTGTGTGGGTAAAAACGCCTTGTTAATTTCAAGGAGGGGTGGAATCTATGATGTCTGTATTTGACAAAACCTTCTGTGCCAAAATCAAGTCCAACCGGAACTAATTTGACATTCCTCCTTTTCAATGCGTAATTAACTACCCATTCATTTTCTTCAGGCAATATTGAACATGTGGAGTACACAATGTAACCTCCTGTACTTGATTTTGCATTACAACAATCTATAGCAGCCAACAACAGTTGCCTTTGCAGATTGAAACACCTCTGAATATCTTTTTGATCTTTTGTAGTTTTAACACTTGGATCTTTAGCAATCACACCAGTACCAGTGCAAGGGGCATCTAGCAGAACCCTATCAAAACCTTTAATTACATCAGGGAACTGTCTACCATCATAATTACATATTACAGCATTGACAACACCCAATCTATGGAAATTACCAACAATAGCTTTAGTTCTGTCTTTGTTAGCGTCATTTGCAAAGAGTGCACCTGTATTCTTCATAATTGCTGCAATATGAGACGCCTTACCACCAGGAGCAGCACACATATCTAAAATTCTCTCGTTTTCTTGAGGAGCTAGTGCCATAACAGGTAAAAAACTTGATGCCCCTTGTAAAATATAATGTCCAGCTAAATATTCAGGTGTTGCTCCAATAGGTACAGTAGAACTGTAAACCACTAAACCCACTTTACTCCATTTACCAACTGGATCCAAATTAACACCTCTGTTTATAAGTGCTTGTGCTAAATCTCTTCTTCTAGTTTTAAGGCTATTAGTCCTGATGGTAACTGGCCTCGCAACTTCACTTGCCTCTAAAAACTCCATTAATTCTTGAACTGGAAATATTTGCATTAAAACTTCCATTAAAAACTCATTATAACTGTAATACACACATAAATCTTTAAGAAGGAGATCTGTGTATTCACACCTAGATCTGCCATCTTCTTTCAGACTACTGAAATCACTCAGAACAACTACAACATCTTTGATTCTTTGTAATACATCTTGTAAGCTGGTTGGATTTTGTAACTCTTCTTCTGAAGGAAAAGCAAATACATCTTGTTTCGCTATGTTTAGTTGCATTTCCTCATCTGCAAGTTTTTTGTCTAACTTTTGCTTTTTCTTTAATTTTAAGTTAGCCTTTTCAATTGGCAACATATCATCATCTCCGTCATCATCGTCATCACTCTTTTCCTCCTCAGAGTCAGAATTGTAAGCTAATTTGTTAGAGCTTCCTGTTGCTTCATCATCTGAATCTACATCACCATTTTCTTCATCGGAATCCTTAAAGAGGTCATCTAGAGTGCCAAGCTGAAAATAAACATTTTTCATTGGACCAAAATTCTTTATTGATCTTTTTAAAAATAATTTCTCAAGGCATACCTGCATGCTTACTCTTGAATGTAATGTAATTGTGTGTGAGATATTGCAATTTTGTTGTTTCATATTTTTTAATTGGTACATTAGAGCCAATTGGCTCAATATTGCATGACAATGAGTAGGTACTGAGTCTATAATTCAAGAGTACTCTAAAATTTGAAACTGTTACTGGATTAGATTGAAATTGACATTGAGATTGCATTCAAGAGTAAGCCTGCTAGTCTTCATTTAAGTAAAATTTTAAGTCTTTTGGCTCTATCATTCCTGAGATGATCTGCATCAATAATTTATTGACAACTAGGTGAGGACTGATACTAACCTATAATTACTGACTACAATCTTACATTAGATACTTTTGGATAATCAGTGGTGTTATAGGTGATTTAATTATCTAATTACAAAATTTATTTAGCTTGTGAGATAGTATAAGTTATTGGCATAAATTAAATAGTACCTTTTACTGAAAAATATTCTAATGAAAATTGATCAAATATAGTACATACCTTATATTTTTCATTTCCAGGTTTATCAATTTCATCTTCATCAATACTATCTCCTTTTGCATCTGAGCCTTCATGCCCACTGTCACTTTCAGTCTCTGGTTCCTTTTGCACAGATTTTCCTTTTTGTTTTGGCTTCAACCATTCTTTATTATCATCTGTGAAACCTTTAAAATAAAATAAAAGCAATAAGTTTCATTGTAATATTGACAAAATTTAAGTCAGTTCTCTCAAACTTGATTGTATTATTATCAGAACTGCCTGAGAAGTGAAGCACTTCTTTTCCTATAGAGTACAGAAATTCCCTGATAATTTGCCAATAGATATAGGTTTTAAATTAAGATTCACCCTTCAAAGAGATTGCTGTTGTGCTTGCACAGATGCATCTAGCCAATTTTGTCAATATGCATAAAGTCAATATATGAATTTCTTTGTTGTGTGAAAGTCTTTGTTAGCAGCAGATCAACGCTAGACCACAAAGCAATAATGTAGTAAATTGCACAACTAAAATTACTCAACATAGTAGAGTAACCTTTTAATATTTTTTATAAACTTTTGATCATCCGTGGTAACAATAATAAAAACAAACAAAAGTTTTTATTTTTATTTTTCTGCTGCTAAACTTTTGGGTCTTATGACTATGAGACATATGAATCAATATCAATATGTGTGTGAATCAATATGTTTCTGTACATAGGACCATTTATCAACATACCTTGTACTTCTTCATCTTCTGAACTATCATCAGAATTATCTGGATGTACCACTTCTTTTTGTTTAGCAACATTTTTCTTCGCTTGTTTTAACAATTTTCTTTTTTCAGCCAATTCTGTTTTCTTTTTCGCTCGGCGAGCAGCTCTTTGTTTCTGTCTGTGGCTCAACTTTTTTATATCATTGTCTTCTTCAACTGTTAAAGTTATTAAAATAAATATCATGAATAATATTTTAAATAGTCAGATTAAAACGCTAGCTAGAGAAATACATTCGAATCACTGAACCAATTTGTTCATAAAAATATCACCTTTCTTTTACTGAAAATGGTACTGAAAGTTTTCTACTGTCTAAATTTCATAGAAGTAACAAATATTAAATGACAGACATTAGTAGTAGTATTACAATTCGTCCATGGGACAGGCAAAGGACGACAGACTTTAGGTTATTTCAAAGCATTTATCACACGTGCAAAAACTAATACATACTGAGGCCTTTTTTGAAAATAGGGTCGGCTTGTTTTCTTGCCTTTCTTCCCGGTCCTTTTTTCACCTTTTTCTCGTCATCAAATTTTGCTTTGCGACCCATATTTTCTAAACTTATGTATGTAGACTCTCCTACGATTCTCAAAAATAACAAGCAAGGCGAGATACTTCATCCAATCAAGAACACGTGTTTTTTGACGTGTTCACAGACCATTTAGGGATGTTAAAAAATAATCGATTTTTATTTTTATCGATTATTATTTTAATATAATCGATTTTTTATAATCGATTTTCCATGTCATATTAATCGATTTTTAACAAATCGATTAAATAAATTGCGCGGTTAAATCGATTTTCATAAATAGCATCATCTATGCGCCAAATGAAAAAACTCGAAGCATTATTACTTAAAAGTTGATTATATAAAAACGGCGCCATCTGTAGGTATATATGATCTATTTCATGGCGACCGTGAACACGATGGTCCGAAGCTACAAAATAGTGGTGTGAATTGTGACATGGGACGGAGGTCAAGCTGTTAGTTATTTTCCTACATACTTATAATGGGATAGACAGCAAATGATTATTACTCCGAGAATTAAATTAACTATGTTTATCAATTGGATATAAAGAGAAGATGCAAGAAATTTTTAAAAGAAGTCATTGAAGAAACTGCAATGGTTGTAATACAAAAAGTAATTAAATGATAACGAAGAAGAAATGGCGGATAACCGAAGAAAAAAATATGTAAGAAGAATCTGATACTCAAGACGACATTAGAATAACATCGATGTTGACATCGATATCATCATCGTAAGTCCAACATCGATGTTTGATATTTATCGAAAACTAAACATTTACATTCATGACAATTTTTTTTTTATTATTATATTTAATTTTTTGCGACAATAAGGTTGTCATTTTGATGGGGTGCTCATTTAATTTTTATTATTATATAACGTTTAAAGATACTGAGAATTTCTATCAATAATGATATTTGGTTTTATTATTCCTTACCTTGAAAGTTTAAAAGAACATTTGCTTTGATTTTTAGTTTTGAATTGTCAATTTTTTTATTCATATTAGTTTTTTTTAATCTGATTAATTGTTAATATGAATCTTTTAGGTTTATTATTGGAATATGCAAAGCATGTAGGATTTTAAATAATAGAAAAAAAAATCGATTTTTTCGCAAAAATCGATTATTTATTTTCATTAAAATCGATTATTGACAAATCGATTTATAATTTATAAAAGATAATCAATTTTTAATAAATCGATTATTTTCTATTAATCTCACATCCCTAAGACCATTCTCAGATAAATGATAAATCTGTGAGACCAACGGAACGGACGTGTTTTTTCACGTCACTATCAGTTTGAATTTGATGAGAAAAGAAATGTGCCAAGTAATCAGTTAATGAATAACCGATATAATTAATCTCGAGTTGAACATGCTATAAAAACATTTTTCTATGTGATCTTCCTGAATGTGTGTAGGTTGGCATTAAATAAAAAACTGTATAATATCCAATTGAATAATGACTGTCTTTTCTCAAAATTACCATAACTCTATGTATTACCCACTTTAAACTTTGAGCGAACTCTTTTAAAATAACGTAGGTCAACATTAGACTGATATATCTACAATGATTTAGGAAATAGTACACCCGGTTTCTGAATTGAGAATTTAAAGTTAAGAACATCTCAAAGTAAGGTTTTTATTTTCGATATTAGTTATTTTAATATCAGTGGATAGCAGTTTTCTTTTTGACTTGTGAAACAGGAAAATCTTAGGTTATTAAGATTTTCTACTTTTCTCAAAATAGAAACCGGCGGTTAGTCTGTAAACGGATTTCAGTATTTGATTGCTTCGTTTAGTGATGGTCTGATAGAATTTGTGTGAAAACCGTCTAATTAATCACAAAGTAGTTTATTTCGTTTTCAGAAATTAAGAAGTTAATGACCGATTAAAAACTTTTTCCTTTGTATGTCCCAAAACATTTATTTACAAAGTCTTTGTAATTTCCCCGAAACTATTTTAACTAGACATACCATTTTTTTATATAATAGGCATAAAGTTTATGCCTATAATACTTATGCATAAAGTATTGTACTTTTAACATCTAGTATTTATGTTAATTAATATAATATTTTTTTAAAGTAATATCTAAATCTATATTGTAATATTAATATACGTGAAACATTCCTTTTCCGGTTTCCTTATCTTCTAAGGAAACCCTAGATACGAGTTTTTTTTTCTTTTACGCAACCCAACCAGCACGCGTAGCATGACGAACTCGAGAACGTTTTGTCTACACTCAAATGTCACTATTATCGGGTGCGCCCATATTATATCTCACTCTCGACCCGAGAAACTGACAAATGAGTGTAGACAAAGCGTTTCTCGAGTTTGTCATGCTACGCGTGCAGGCCCATCTTAAACAACAGGCGCCAGCGTCAGCGATCGAAAAATATAAAAATTATAACTTTGGGGCACATTACCGAAGTCATCGATGAGTAGGTACTACAAGATTAGACCATCATCGGCGCGGTGCCCGGGTGCATTGCACCGCCGACACTATGAATAAAGTCGGGCCTGATCGTAACAAGTACATATATGAAACTATGTAATGACATTAAGTTCCACGAAATATCTAAATATTCAGCGCTCGACAGGCGCCCAAGGGCGCTGCGCGCCCTGACGCATCCATGCGCCCCCGGGTAACCCAACCGTAGTTATTGAACTCATTAATTCCACCTTGCAACTACAGATAAATAGTAATCTTAAAATCAAAAGAATCGATATAGAGTACCTACCATAACTCTATGGTACCTGTGTATAACGAAACATCCCTATACACTTTTATGTCAAATTTTCGCAAACGATTTTATACGTAATGCAAATGGATTAAAGCTTAAGATCTATGTACAAAAAAGTTACATACATGCATGTGGGATTATAGTTATATTCTCTTTGTATTCTAAAATAAAGGTTATTTTCATACGTTGACTCTGTCGGCTATCCGTTGCACAGAACACTTATCCGTTGACTCACAAACTACATGCGTTGACTGCTGGCATGGAGTTGATCGAATCATTTGTTTAATAACTGCGTTATTATTATAATGAAGTAACATTTGTTAAAAACGCTCGGAGAAAAAGAGGACGAGGCGAGTATTCAATACAATGTATTACTGAAGATGAACATTGTACTTTTTCCGAAAAAAGATAAAGGAAACAACTTTCTGTAAAATGGCATTGCCGAAGACTCGTTCAGTTTTCCCTAGAATTCTGTTCCCTCGCTCTGGATTTTTCAGGTGAGATCATATAGATTTAGAAATTGAATGATAATTCGATATCTATTTAACTACGATATCGGTTCATTAATTTGCGTTTTTATTTTATTAGTTTTCAGGGTCATTACGTAAATAGACAAGCTGATGAAATTCATGGTCACTGTCACGATTTAAGATATCAAAAACGCTCTTTCCTCGATTTCCCTAAACAAAATCGCACGAGAAAGTATTGTGGAAGGCAATTAGTGGGGTAAGAACATTAAATAGTGACTATTGCATTATTTGTTAAACAGTAAAATGTTAATTATTGCTAAATAAGTTGTCCTGAACTTAGCTTATGAAATTTAAAAGACAAGCATTTGCATATTGTTCATAGACCATTGAACTGGAAGAATAACTGAATATGTTATGGTAAAATTGTTGTATAGTCCTCTGAAACTTATTAGGTTGTAAATTTGTGATAAATGTTTAGTTCATATTGGTTTCTGATCAGAAAATATGGTAATCATTAAATGTTAAAACAACTTATCTTTTATGCATTTACAGCTATACAATGGAACAGATGTTTGAAGTAGTGTCAGATGTCGAGAATTATTATAAATTTGTACCTTGGTGTAAAAAATCTGTTGTACTTCTCAAAACCCCAGCCAGACTAAAAGCAGACTTGATTGTTGGGTTTCCACCTATTAATGAAAGTTATACATCTAATGTCACTCTAATCAAACCACATTTAGTAAAAGCAGAGTGCACTGATGGAAAACTCTTTCATCATATGCTCACACAGTGGAGGTTCAGTCCTGGTTTAAAAAGAGAACAACAGTCATGTGTTGTTGATTTTCAAATAACATTCGAATTCCGATCAGCTTTTCATTCTCATTTATCAAATTTGTTTTTTGATCAAGTGGCTAGACAAATGGAAGGTGCTTTCATAAGAGAAGTAGGCAAAAGATATGGACCGGCAACAATGCAACCTAGAAATTTACTTCTTAACAACCATATGATTAAAAGTTGACATTAAAATGATAATCTTGAGTAGATGAATACCATAGAGTAGATCAATGAGGTTGTTTTCATTAGAGAAAAGTGGCAAATCAAAGGAGAACTAACTCAAGTTTATATATGTGATCAACTAGGTAGTCATGTGAACATATGAAGGCTGTTTTACTATCGCAAGCAAAATTAAACAACCACTAATATGAAGAATTACTATTTGAATGAAACTATTTGCCAGTATGTGTAAACTGTCAAGTGTTTCACTAACCCTTGAGATATTGGCACAATATAGTTTTTTTGTATTATTATACCTTTTACATAACAAGTAAAAATATAATTTTGTTTGTTGAATTTCTTAATATTTCTCTGCATCATTCTGAAGTTATTTCATTTTTGCTAAGTGAAAACATAAAACTTTTAAAACAGGATTTAATGAAAACCTACATTAATCTAAGTATTTATTGTGATAAATGTAAATATTATTTATTGATGTTAAATCTATTTTGAAAATTGGAATTAAAAAATGTTTGACTAATGAATTACAGTTTATTTACATTTGTCCACACTGTGATATAGTAACAGGTATTTTTGGTTTGTTATTTGGTCCGGTGGGAACATTTTCAATCTTTCTCATTACTAAAAGTCCATCAATAACTCTTCCGAATACTACATGCTTATTATCTAAAAAGTTGCACTTTGCACAAGTTATAAAAAATTGACATCCATTTGTGTCTTTTCCACTGTTGGCCATTGATAGCAAACCAGGTGAATCATGCTTCAAAGCAAAGTTTTCATCTGCAAATGTGCTTCCACCATAAATACTCATCACTCCTGTGCCATCACCCTGAAACAGATACAGTATAAAATAATGGCACTAAAATAGATTTTGTAAAGTTATGAAAATATAACCCACTCAAACATCATCAATCTAGTAGTACAGCATTTCTGTCATTTACCACACTTAGTTAAGCACTCTGGGACAAATGGGTTCAATTATGTTACTTTAACAGGATACCTGTTAACAACTACTTACATTAACAAAATCACCGCCTTGTATCATAAAATCTTTGATAACTCTATGAAATGTAGCTCCTTTATAACCTAGAGGAACACCATCCCTTCTATATTCTCCAGTGCAGAATTCCCGGAAGTTTTCACTTGTCTTGGGCACGACATCAGCAAACAATTCAAAAATCATTCGCCCGATTTCCTGAAAATTTTGAATGTATTGCAGAAGGTACCGTCACAATTTAACAAAATAATAACTTTTAAAGCTTAAAGATATGAAAACTTACTGTTGTTCCTACAGTTATATCGAAAAACACGACGGGGTTGTTGGGGTTCCTCAATTGAGATTGTATTTGATTCCAAGTAGGCATTTTGGTATGTAATGTGTGTTAATAAATTAACTAACTATACATATTCATTGGAACTCAATAGGATTTGTTGACGAACACAACGAACGAAACTGCAATGCAAAGTAATGGTGTGTGGAATCGATTACCGATAATCGATAAATCGATTTTTCAAATAATCGATAAATCGATTTTACAAATAATCAGTTGCTATCGATTATGATATCATAATCGACGATGAGTAGCTCGGTGGCGTAGTTGATAAGTGCGATACGGCTCGCGATCGTTGTCGTTCAGCAACTTTCGCAAGAGCCCATCCTCCTTAACCATCCATAAGGAAGGCCTAAGCACCTGCAGGGGGGACGTAAAAGGGCTGATGATGATGAATCGACGATTAACCATCAATTATTTCTTAAAACGTTAGCAATAGGAATAATTTAAAACGTTGGTATAGTACCTACTTACTTTACTTCGACGACTCAGCAACCCAAAGCGGATCGCGAGTGTGAATATTATTAGTAGATATTCTATTACTTATACCTGGAATACCCACTAACAACAAAGAGTAAAGTTACAAAGGTAACTTTACTCTTTGGTTGGGGAACTCCCGATGAATGAATGAACGGATCTTACAGTTTTATTTTAACGAATACAAATTAACCGTTTCTAACTAAATGCATATGTAAGTATACACGGTACATACCTATAAAAAATAATATTTTTTACACTTATTGTCTGTCTGTTTGTTCCGGCTAAACTCTGAATTTTGATAGGACTTTCACTGGCAAATAGCTTATGTAATAAGGTATTACTAAAGCTACTTACGACGCGGACAAAATCGCGGGTACAGCTAGTTTATTATTTTTTTTTATGTAATAGGCGGCAGAAGAACAGACGGATCACCTGATGGTAAGTGATTACCGTCGCCCATGGACACCTGCAACACCAGAGGGGCTATAAGCGCGCTGCCGGCCTTTGAGCAGGGCTTGGAAACCGGTTTATTTTTTGAACCGGTTCGACGTAACTATATGCGGAACTTTACATAAAAGGTTCAGCTCCTACGAACAGGTTTTTAAACCGGTTAACTAGAAATACGGTTTTCTTCATTAACCGGTTTAAATATGACTCCAGACAATGATCTTACAAACTTCAGCACAGATGTTAAGTGCCTATACTCCTATCTATAACATCCGTACACAGGTATGATAAATGTCGTCGCTTAAAAATTATATAATTCGCATTAAAAACATAAGAACATTGCTTTTTACGAACCAAACGAATAAACAGTTTTTATTCCATCCGTATTTCACTCCGCATTTTGTTCCGATCCGGAACGGAACATTATAAGAGAACAGGTTTTACCTAAATAAAAACGGTTTATTCTAAACCGGTTTCAAGCCCTGCCTTTGAGGGACGAATATGCTTTACGCTTGAAAGTTTGAAGGTCGTATTGGTCCGGAAATACCGCTGGCGACAAACTGAGTTTGACTGAGCGAGGCAGGAAACTTCTAGAAAAACGCACAGTTGAAGACTTCCAACCATCCAAATGATGGGTGTGGATTTGACATAATGGAAGTGAGAACAGAGGTTTTTTTAAATTTATGGAAATCAATTGAATTAATGCTGTGATGTAATTAAAAGTGGCCTTTAGCTACGGTATACAATATTATTACCGCCAAATAGTTTTTAAAAATAAAATACTAATGCCATAGTAGGTCTAGGAATTTTTCATTGTAATATTTAACAAAAGTTCTGAAAACAATAACAACTAGATAATTTAGTTTTATTGCTATTAGTTGTTTGTTGAACTTACAACAACAAAACTACATCAAGCCTCAATAATATTTTTATATCATGTATGGTGAATGAATGAATACGGTTTATTTATCAGCAACAAAAGTCATAAAAACGATAATTATAATAAAAAATACGTTGATTATCTATATACTTACCCGATATGTATCAAATATACTATGTATTCGTTCAAAATAACATGACTTCTGGTTAAAATGACGTTGGTGCTAAGTGAAACGTGCAAATAACTTGTGCTTTCGAAATTAAAACTTTAAAAAACTATGATCAGTTATTAAATCTTATATTCATAATTAAATCATCTTAATAAACATTTAGCAATCAACAAGAAACGTCTGTTCTTAACGAACAGCAAGGTTATATAACTTTCAATTTCAAAATCACAGTGTTAAGTTAATTCGTACCCACGTTTGTACCCATTCATACTCACCGTATGTGCTTTTTGGTTCTTACAATAATATTGTTAATAATAGATTGACTTCCTACTCAACCTACTCTAGAAACCAGTTTTATTAAGATATACCTATTATTTACTAAGTACCTAAAGTAGTTATGTTCTCTTGCGGTAGTGTCGTATGCGTTAGGTCGTTATGTTCCCTCAAATATAGTATAGTTAAATTGTATAGTAGAAATTAAAAAAGCAGCCCTGGCTGAGTTTCTTGCCGATTCTTGTCAGTACAAAATCTCCCGCCTTAATTTTGCGAACCACTGGCAAAGTTTTCGACTGTCATATGTCATTCGAATTGATTTTGATATTTATATTAATATCATTCATTTTGTGGATGCATAATGACACATACAAATACAAGCTGAATTCTGTGCTCCACTTTTGTTCTTCATTCAAAACCTGAATTCGGATGAAAGTAACGACTAACCGATAAGTTGGCTCATCACTAATGTTGACTTATAAACCAAACATCGTTCCTTTACACGTAACATAGTAAACAACTTAAACTTACGATTAAAATAAATTGAAATTAATTTGAAAGTTAGATATTATAAGAAACACAAAACGATGTCATATTTATTAATTTACGATATTCAATTCACTTTTATTACTTCAGATACAAGATTTGAATGAATATCATAAACAAAATCCAAACATCGCGAGTGACATCTAGTATGATTTCATGAACTAATTTTTATTTTTTAAATACACCCTCATTGTTGATCGAAGGTCTAGTGACATTTTTTGTAGTTTCTTTTTTTTAAATACTTCCCATTGCAATGGTTACTAGTCTGATTAGTTTATGACATCTATGAATAATACATAAAAGTTATAAGAATAAGTGTTGCAAAAATAAAAATCATAGTTATAGTGATGTTTGCTTTTGTGTTGTCCTTTTTAGAGCATAGAAGAACAATCTCAAAGAAGAACCGGTTAATTCTAACTACCGCTCAGTCTCTCAATTTTCGTGTCTCTCTCACTGTGGGATGTTGGCAGTTTTTCTGTGTACAACGGAACAAGATAATATTAAAAAAGAAACACAAATTAGTTTTTTTATCCGTTTACGCCAACGTCCATACCATGTTGAATACACCGGTTCTCGTCTGATCACCGAAGTTAAGCAATATCGGGCGCGGTCAGTACTTGGATGGGTGACGGCCTGGAAACACCGCGTGATGTTGGTTTTTCGTAAAACACTCAAGATTTGGCTGTATGGCTTAGTTCCTTCGCCTGTCCCATGGACGAACTACTTGGAACTACTACTACCTACCACAGCTACCTACTACTAAGGGCGCTTGTGCACTACACTGAATTTTCAGGTACGGCGGTCCGATTTTTTCCGGTCCGGAATGACATGAAAAACTCGGATGAGTAGCTTGTGCACTTGTCCGTTTTTTTCCTGATCGGAGCGGCGCAGTGTAGGGCAGCTCTCTTTGAAGCTACACGTCACTTACGCTAGGTACAATGAGATTTTTGGAAAGTCGGTAATTCCGTTCGAAGACGTAGAAAGGTACCTAAATAATGATCTGATCGTTTTACATAAACCATAAAAAATTATGGCAAGACGAAAGCATTTTTTTTACTACTATCGGATAACTTATACCCTTACTAATTTAGGAACAGCATTATTCACATAAAATAGCTAAAAATATCTGTGACATTAGAATAAAATTACTGATAATGGTCTAGTACTTGATGTTTAAATTTTTAAACGTGCTATTTTTTTTTCGAAGTTTTGTAAAAACAACTTTCAGCGATTACAGAGATAGACCAATCGGTGGCGCCATTTCGTAAACAAATCGAAATTAGTGCCGTGTTAGCGGAGAATTATTATGCTAAATGAACTTTACGAGATCAGTTGACTGTATTATATATAGGCATAATTTTATACGCATGGTGTAGTTTCTTTGAGCAGAAATATTATTCCCTTAGAATACTTCTTTTTTTTTAATTTATCAATGACACAAACATACATTTAAAATTTTATTAAATGCGAAAAAGACATTGAGTGTCACTTAATTACTTTTGTTAATCTTCTGTTTATTCTTTATTATTACTTCTGTTGTCAAATATTCATCTATATTTATCAATTGTCTAAAAAAATTGATAATGACAAATTTCCAGGCAAACTTTCATCCCCTATTTTTCGCGATAAAATGTAGCCTATGTCCTTTCGTAAAGTTAAGTCTATTTACTATATTAATTTCCATTTAGATGGGTTCAGTTGTTTAGGCGTCTAAGCGTAACAACACTTATTTATCTTACCTTAAGCTATCGATACTTTTAATACGATTCTAAAATCTAACTAAGTATCGATACTAGAACCATACCGAGTTTGCCAAAGCTTATGCAGTGATATATACCAACTATATTAAATAATCATATAAACTATAGCATTTTATAATCAACAATAAATATTGATTATAAGTTTATTGGAAATTAACAATATTGCCGAAATAAATATCGATTCAAGTCGATTATTTTTTCCCAAGCCTATTTCTTATGAATTTTCCGGACCTCGGACACAGCAGTGCACAAGCGTAAACACGTTTATCGTTGCCGCCATCACGGACCTGAAAAAACCGGTCCGGAATAGAGAAAAGTAAAATTCCGGACGATAAAATTCCTGACAGTGCACAAGCGCGCATTACCTACATATGGCCTGACATATCGGACCTGAAAAAATCGGACCGCCGGGCATGAAAATTCAGTGTAGTGCACAAGCGCCCTAAGTCTGTGCCTACTACTTATCCGTCAACTACGGTCTACGATTTGGTCTACGACTACGACAGGAAAACGAAATAAACATTTAACAGAGGTTGTTTCTATAACTATTTAGCACTATGGATGATGAAAAAATCAGTGTTGATTATTATGAAGTACTAGAATGTAACAGATGTGCAAGTACTGAAGAGTTAAAGAAAAATTATCAACGTTTGGTGTTAACTTTGCACCCAGACAAACGCGTGGAGAATAAGGAAGGTGCATCATTTTTACTCCTACAGAAAGCATGGTCTGTATTAAGAGATCCTGTTTTGCGGAAGCAATATGATGCTGAACTTGTTTGTAAAGAAAATTCAGATTTTTTAATATATGAAACCATAAATATGAAGGATATGAAATTCATTTTAGATGAATGTATTTATGTATATAGTTGTAGATGTGGTGGCACCTATGTATTAGAGGCCTCTGAAACCCAACAGTCAACTGTTATTATTGGATGTGATGAATGCTCTTTTTCTATAAAAATTTGTTTATGACATGCCTACTTAATTAGTTAAATAGTAATGTGTGTAGCAATTTAAAAAATACTGTGATATTAAGACATTTATCTTAATGTTTATGTGCAGTCAGTTAGAACAATTTATAATATTAAAAGAACATTAAACACTGCTTGCTATGGTGGATTGACTTGTTATTGCATATAAAAATTATGCTCTATTTGATGACCTCCTTAGCCAAATGGTTTGTAAGCCGGTTTCAAGGTTTCGCCATCTCTGAGATCTCGGGTTCGATTACCGGTTGGGTCAATGTAGAAAATGCACTTTACGTCTCAAGGTGTTGTGGTATCTTCATTGTCTCAGATACTCCATAATACAGGAGCTTTAGCTACTCATCTTTAAATCCGAGCAATGTATGTGACATTGTTTAATATATATTTATATATATATATAATATATATAGTATAATATTATGTGTATATATTAAACAACATCACATACATTGCTATATACAAAATAAATATTAAACTACATTACTACGTCTTTGCTTTCCAGCGTCAATATATTGACACAAACACATAGTAACCTGCAAAACCAAATTGGATATCAAGACTGGAAAATCTTTATATTTTTCCAAGAAAAAATATCTTCTTTCCATATAAATTGACTAAGGAACACCTTATTTGTTACCATGGACGTTTATAGCAATTATTTATATAAAAAAATAAAAGTATTTCTGCTCTAAAACAAAACTTTGGTTTTGGGGGTTACTACGTGTTTCCTTTCCAGCGTCAATATAAAGTCTAAATTTGTGTATTACCAGATTAGAAAAAGGTGTGACCCAACTTCAGTACATGAATTCTTATCATATTGTTTTAATCTTACATCTACATTCCTGGGGACTGTTGAGTTGTGTTTTGATACCTGCATTTGATGTAGATTACCACAGTTGTAAGAATTTTGATGATCCAATTACTATTTCCGACAATGAATCTCTCTAACCAAACAAAAGTTTGATACTTTATCTTTTTATAATATTAGTATAGATGTTATACAGGCGGTTGCTAATAGTATAGCATAGCATACTTAATTTGATTGCATTTTCTACCCTAAAAAGATTTTCTTGTTTTTAATGTAAATTTTAGTTGACTTGGTAATTATAGAGATTTGATGTTTTTATAATGCTTAGTAATGAATATTCACTTATCATGGACCCAACGACTTATCACCAACACTCACTGAATGCTTATGCCAAAAATACCTTATTCTATTTAAATTTTAAGTTCAATTCACCATCATAGAGACCCAATGTAAAATATTGTCTGTAACTTACTTTTAAAGTATGGTTTTTCATGTTAAATACGCTCAATTATTTACTGACTGTTCATTACATTATTTCGAAGATGGAATATTTATAATATCAAATCTTGGGTTAGTCTCATTATGTAGTAAGAAGAAGTAGAATTTAATAATAGATATTTTGCTAAAATTTTATTTATTTACTTTGTAACTTTTATTTTATGTACATATTTATTATAGAAAGTTAATATGTTATAATACAAAAAATAAAACACTATAACAATACAAACAATAATACGGTAGCAGATGCGGCTCCACCTCGCACCAACAGATGGCGCTGTCTGATTCCTACATCGTGGTAACTTTTGTGATTCAATAATGTATAAGACCTTCAGTCAACCCAATGGTTGTTATCCACTAGTAGGGCCGGTTTAAGGTGCAAACTAACTGCTTTCACCCACGCTGAGACAGTTCAGTTGATACTATAAACCATATGCGTTGTAGAAGATCTGCAAGTTTAGGACTTTCTACGGAGATCCTAAACTGAAGGTTCTAGCTATAACGCCATCCGTACGTCAATTTGTCTCCAAATTCTATTCGTATAAATATATATTAACAAAACAACTCCATAAATCGTTTGTTTCTCACTACCAAACAACACCCCGCTCACAAGTGACGCCCAACGTGAGGCTTCGAGTCGAAGCTACATAAGCATTGTGACAAAAATACCCACTACGGCGGTGTTTTTACCTGAGAAGACAACACGTTAATGAGTGGAGACAGCTCTGACAACGAAATCGATTACGAAGACCCTTTTGAATCAACATATTACGTTACTCGAACAGGACGTGTAACTACTATCAAAATGGCGCAACCCAAGCTGTACGCTCTAACCGAAGATGTGCTGGAGAAATTTATAACACAGCTCGCTCCAAGTAAATCTGCAACAGAAATAGGTTCTTTGACCACGTGCAACTACTTCTACGATGGACGCAGGAGTGCTGATGCAGTGGAAGCCTTTTTATCGGCAGTGCAAATATTTAAGGGTCGGCATAAGATCACTGATGAAGTTGCTTTAGAGGAGTTACCATTGTTACTCAAAGATGAGGCCGGAATTTGGTGGCAGGGTGTGAAGAATGAGATTGATACATGGCAGAAGTTCGAAAAATGTCTAAGAGATTATTTTGCACCCAAAAAAGAAGCTTACCTCATACTTAATGAGATAACGCAAATCAAGCAGGGGAATGACGTATCCACCGAAGTCTTTATTCGCCGCAAACGATTTCTGTTTTCTCAACTTGCAAACCCTGCGCTAACGGAATCGTTTCAGCTGGACCTACTGTATGGTATTTTAAACCTAGGCATAAGAGACAAAATACCTCGGGGTAGTGTCAACACCTTTGATGACCTCATATACGCTGCTCGAGCAGTTGAACATGTCATAAAAGAAAAGGCTGAACCAAACGAAGGCATCATATATACACCAAAGCCAGGCGGACAAAAGAAAAGGTGTAAGTTTTGCAAGAATTTGGGTCATACGATTGAGACTTGTAGGAAGAAGCAATTCGTAGAAGACAAGAAGAAGCATGATGTACTTCATCTCAAAAATAAAACCGAAGCAAACACGCAGGCTCCTTCGCCCTCTACTCCCAGGTTTAGCTGCTATGGTTGTGGTGCACCGGGTGTAGTTCGTTCCAACTGCCCGACTTGCCATAGAAATAAGAACGCCCAAGATGTTGGAGTGTATCATGTAACCGATACCCCTACTGACAGTAGAGACAGGCCAATGGTATACATCGAAATAGATGATATAGTGACTCCAGCATTTATTGATACTGGGGCCAAAACAAGTATCGCCTCATTTTCACTATATCAGAAATTGAAAAGTAAGGGTTATCGATTTAAGGAAGTACATGTTGGTATAACTCTAGCAGATGGCAGCAAAAGAAATCAAAATGTATTGGTCACTAAAGTAGCTGTCAACTTTTATACTAAGACCGTCTTGACAAAATTCTTGGTCTTTCCGGAAACACGTAACAATCACTGTCTTCTTGGAGTAAATTTTTTGCAAGACTCACATGTTGTCTTAAACTTGCCACAGAACACATTTCACTTTCTGGAAAATCCCGATTTAGAAAACGAGCTTTACGAAGAGGGCTTTATCACATTCCAAGAAAACATTAATGTTTCTATGGTAACTGCTACTGACCTATGTTCGTCGCGAGTGCCTCAAGTCAACTGCATACATACTGGTGGTGATTTGCGACCGCTCAAATTCCGTATGGATGAGGAGGGTGCAGCTTGGCCGAACGAAAAAAGACACTGTGTCAGACTATTCGATGGGTATTCACCCGTGATGGATGCATTATTTAGAGATGCACAAAACAATCTTTGTGACTATGATCAACATACATGTGAGTCTGATCTTTTCCCAGACATCGGTATTGCATCTCTGGACATGGAAAAAATTAGTTTCGATGACTTTCTTGCACAAAATGAAAGCGTTTTCAAACCAAATAAATTACCAGCAAAGGATGTGGAACATATTATAGATACGGGCAATCATAAGCCCATTTCAAATCCACCTTACAGATTGTCCCCTCTGAAACGCGAGGCGTTGAAGAAGGAAATAGAAAAGATGTTAGAGGAAGATGTAATTGAACCATGTTCATCTCCATGGGCAGCACCGGTAGTCATGGTACCTAAGAAAAATGGAGGTATCAGAGTGTGCATTGATTACCGACAGCTGAACTCAGTTACCGTTCCGGATAAATATCCAATGCCACGGATTGATGATCTACTCCACAATGCAAAGCCCACACCATTCATGAGCACCATTGATCTTCAGACTGGATACTGGCAAATAAGTGTTAGGGAGGAGGACCGAGACAAAACAGCGTTCGTTACGCCATTTGGTATGTATCGATTCAAAAGAATGCCCTTTGGTCTGCGTAACGCACCTGCTACTTTCCAAAGGATGATGGATCGCTTTCGCGTTTCACTTAGCCACCCAAACCTTCTGGTTTTTATCGACGATCTGATCATTATGTCTCCTACCTTAGATATACACATGCAGGATCTTAAAGGTGTATTTGATCGTCTCAGAGAAATGAACCTAACTGCTAACAAAGAAAAAAGCCGATTTTGCTGTTCACAAGTAAAGTACTTGGGTCATTACATTACGCCTAAAGGATTGGAAGTAGATCCTCAGAAAACGAGCGCTATACTCAAGATGACACCCCCGCAAAATCTCAAACACCTAATGTCTTTTGTGCAAATGTGTTCATGGTATAGGCGCTTCATACCAAACTTTGCCAAAATATCCGAACCACTTACTCGCCTTACAAAAAAAAGCGCTAAATGGATATGGGGAGAGGAACAAGAAGAAGCATTTGATAAATTAAGAAAACTATTAACATGTCCTCCAGTATTGGCTCAAGCCGACGAAACCAAGCCCTATATTATAAAGGCTGATGCTAGTGGTTACGCAATCGGTGCAGTTTTGGTCCAGGGGGAGGGAGATCAGGAGCACCCAGTTGAATATGCCAGCCGACTGCTGACTTCGACGGAACGAAATTACAGCACCACTGAAAGAGAAGCTTTGGCAGTGATTTGGGCAATCAATAAATTTCGAGGCTATGTGGAAGGTGCAAAAATTACGGTCTTAACTGACCATCAAGCATTAAAGTGGCTTATGTCTCTCAAATCTCCAACAGGGCGATTAGCAAGATGGGCCCTACAACTTCAGCCCTACGACATCACCATTAAATATATAACCGGTAGGACGAATGTTGTCGCAGACTCCCTTTCACGTCCCACTTGTCAATCTGAAAATAAAGAACATTGTGATGTTTGCGCGATCACAATTGACATGCCGCGCATAGATAAAGAAAAAATAAGAGAAGAGCAGTTTAAGGATGAGGATATTGTAAAAATAGTCAAGTGTTTAGAAAGTAATAGCGAAGAACAAGCCGAGTACTGGAGTAAGAAAGGCTATTTTATGAGCAACGGATTGCTGTATCGGTATGATCCAGAAAACATGGGAGATAACGGGTTGTTGGTTGTGCCTAAACATGAACAACAAAAAGTAATAAAGGCTTATCATGATGAAGCAACGGCAGGACACTATGGATCAGAAAAAACGATAGAGCGTATCACACGTCGATATTTTTGGAAAGGGATGAGAAGCCAAATCGAAGCTTACGTGAAAAAGTGCTTGAGCTGTCAGCGCTATAAAGCCTCGAATCAAAAACCACCAGGCTTACTGCAAACTACAGCTAGTAGCCAAAGATTTGAAGTTGTCGCTTTTGACCTTTTCGGGCCTTTGCCTCGAACTTCAAGTAACTTTAACTGGATTCTTATCATAGAGGACGTTTCTACTCGTTGGGTCGAATTATTTGCTATGCAATATGCTACCGCAGAAGAATGCGCAAATATACTATTAAATGAAATAATTCTTCGATATGGCACACCTCGTCGCTTCCTTAGCGACAATGGGACACAGTTCGTTAGTAGTGTTATGCAAAAATTGACATTTTGCCTAAACATACATCACGGATTTACTCCTGTCTATCATCCGGAGACAAATCCAGTTGAACGAAGAAATCGTGATCTAAAAATTCAACTTGGTATCTTAGTAGATAATGATCATACCACTTGGCCAGACAAGCTACCTAGTATCCGTTTTGCCATGAATACGGCTATCTGCAGCTCTACAGGATTTTCTCCAGCCTACTTAACTTTTGGCCGTGAGCTCCGTACTCCGGATGACGTTGAGCATGATCTCCGAGAAATCATACAAAATGATAATTTTGTCGCTGAAATAACCCCGAAGCTTTTGTTAATGGCAGATACGCTCAAAAAAGCTAGGGAAGTCCAAGAAATGAAGGAAGAGAAACGAAAAGAATACGTGGACAAAATGAGGAAGTCACGTCCATCTTACATGGATGGAGATCTTGTTTTAGTTGATACACACGTTTTAAGTAAAGCTAGGCAAGGATATAGCGCTAAACTAGCACCACGACGTGACGGACCGTATATAATCAAACGGCGTCATGGGCCAAGTTCGTTTGAAATTGCCAACCCTATTACAAAAGAAGCTGTTGGAATTTATCACTCATCTGCATTACGTCGTTTCCAAGGAGACGATAAAGACCCATTACCCACACCTAAGGCACCCATTAGGAAGAGAGGACGCCCTCGCAAGCAGCACTCAAAGTAGCTACCAATATAGTAATATAGGTCCTGTTTCACTTGTCGGGACGACCAAGGAAACAGAGGGGGAGGCTATAACAATACAAACAATAATACGGTAGCAGATGCGGCTCCACCTCGCACCAACAGATGGCGCTGTCTGATTCCTACATCGCGGTAACTTTTGTGATTCAATAATGTATAAGACCTTCAGTCAACCCAATGGTTGTTATCCACTAGTAGGGCCGGTTTAAGGTGCAAACTAACTGCTTTCACCCACGCTGAGACAGTTCAGTTGATACTATAAACCATATGCGTTGTAGAAGATCTGCAAGTTTAGGACTTTCTACGGAGATCCTAAACTGAAGGTTCTAGCTATAACGCCATCCGTACGTCAATTTGTCTCCAAATTCTATTCGTATAAATATATATTAACAAAACAACTCCATAAATCGTTTGTTTCTCACTACCAAACAACACCCCGCTCACAACACTTATTTGATAATTATATTGTTTTACTGTAGATATTTTAAACTAAGTTCCTAGTTTATTGATTTTGAGTATTTTAAGATCTCTATTATATATTAAACCAGGGCCTCAGAATATCATTGGTAAATAATAAACAGATTCTTTACTAATACCATTTATTTATGGTTAGAGCTAGTACATAAATATATAATTTCGTCAAGGTACAATTGTTGATTGTATTAAAATTAAGATGTTAAAATGAATGGTGAAATTAAAAGATCTAGTTCCCTATAATAAATGAAAGATAAAATTTTTGTACAATTAAAATTAACACTACAGTAGGTCAAATGAAATAAGAAGTGTTGAAATAAATAAGTAAGGATGTACTAGCGATATAAAATTTTCAATTGTATTAGCATTTTCTTAATTTTATATTCCTAATGTATAAGATCTAGGTTATCACAATGCAAAGTAGAATTTTGTATATTTTTTCACAATTACTTCATTGGCAAGAACTAAACAATCAAGCATTAAGTATAAACAATAAATTTATTACATTTAAAAATGTAGAAGAAATAGAGAGAGAGAGAGAAAATTATGCCAGAGAGTGGTGAATGCTAATAATAATAATACAAGAATAGCAAAACTGGCGTAAAATATAAGGTATATATTACACAAGTAAAATATATTTTATCGTCACCTCGTGCGATGTTCTTGAAACATGGCAGGGTAGCAATCTTGTCACAACACTTGAAATCTCCCACACACACTCATTGAGATTATTTTTTGGATTACCAATCAATTGCTGTGTTCAAACTAATAACTAATTATTAAATGGCATACACAAAATATTTACATATTGTGCAACTTTTGTACTTTAAAATAAGATTCACATAAATATGCGAAAAGTCCAATAGCAGTCAATAAACCATACACACTCTGCAACCATGTTTTCCTTTTGTATCCTGTTTGCATATGCATTGTCAAAGCATCAGCACAGTCTCACTTTATTAACACATCTGTCCATGAAGTTCTTTTTCCTTTTTGTTTGCGTCGCAGCGTCTAATGGCGTAGGCAACGAGAGCTGTGTATGCGTTTGTTCATCAGCTTCTAATATACCTTCGCAGCTGCGACATCTACGTGATGTTTTGTCTGACTCAGTGTGGTCCAAATTGTCACTGCTTTCAGACAGTCTTTCGGGTAGACTATACAGGAATTTCTCTGGGGATGTGGTCTTGGATGTGTTACTACTAGATAATTGATCACAGCTCTGTGAGATTGCTGGCAAAGCTTTTTCTAAGGATGATTGTCGGCTTCTACGTGGTCTGCAAAAAAAAAGCCATTGTTAAACATTTCAACAAAGTTTGATTTGATTCTTACACAGTATAATTTGATTTCTAAGACAAAGGTAGTAAATGTTAGACTCACCTAATAGGCGGCAGTGCATGTATGGTCGGCTCTAGTCAATCTGCTTTATCACTACCGCGGCTCTCGCACGAAGCCATACGTTGGTAGTTTGGAGGACCTCGTCCTATTGTTGCGGTGCTAGGAGTTTGTACATCCCCTCGGCCTCTCAATGGCCCTTCTAGTCGGTTAGTAAGATTAGATTTGCCACGGAGGAAACTGAAAAAAAATATATATTATTTTCCCCACATATTAAATTAAAGTAAAATTTAATTATGGTGATCTAGGGAGTCTGTATTTAATTCCTTCTATAGGGAAGAGCTATGTCACAGTAGCACAGAACAGATAGACATAACGTTAATGAGATGATTTGGATATTTAAGAAATTCTATTTCATATTATAACCCCTATTGACAATATAAATGACCAAAGCCGTAGGTTGGCTCAGATTTTGTGATTTTGGAGTGTGTCAGTTCAATAGTGATATATCGCTTTATTGCACAATTAAATGAATAGTTGGTAGCATAGAAAAATTATATGTTAGAAAAATATAGCCTAATGTATAAGAACAGAATATTTGATTGATGAAAGATTTTTATAAATCAGTCCAGTAGTGGTTGAGTTTATTGATAAGTTATTGTTAGTTTTTGTATTATGAATTTAATTAATAATCGCTAATATTAGTAGATATACGAATATGTTAGTAAAGTGTACAACATACCTCTCAAGTTTCTCTACGCAGGCGTCTTGGTAATCGTGAATCCATCGAACTCCGTTGAAGTGGCATACTGCCCTCATATCTGTAGGAAGCTCCTCAGCTTTTGGCCATTCGAAATTGTCAGTAATAGGTACGATGTTGCACTGTGATTCCAAAGCTGCAACTATTTCCTGTCAAAAATATGTGATTAATTTATTGTTATCAATCAGGCACAGTTTATCACTTAACCTTATAAAGAGATAATATTATGAGTATCCTTATAGGTATCCTTACCCGATGCACCCAATCCTTTTGCTCGTTATCGTCTTTACATCTGTCTAGCGCGTTTGGTGTAAGAACTAGTAGAAAATGTTTTGCTTGTCTTATACTTTGAAGCAGGTTGTTATCAAACTTGCCGGCCTCTAATCTTTCAACGTCAATAAATACTGTAAAACCTCTGAGCTGAAGATGAACTTTGAGCAAGCTAGCCAATTGGGAACCATTAGATCGGCGGTAACTCACGAAAACGTCTAAATTCTTCTCTATATTTTCTTCCCCTTTGGTTGGCAGCGTACTTTCATATGCTGTAACATAATCAATAATCTAAATGACTTTGATGTCATAATTTAATATTTTACTTTTAGGTATATAAGGATGTTCTTTTAGTAATTCGAAAATAGGTTATTGATTGGGTAAGTAAATTTTAATAGAAATAAAACAGCCAAATGATCATTTAAAAGCTTTCTTCTGTTAACGTCTGTTTATTTACAATGTTATTAATTTGTTAGTGATTATATAAGTTGGTAATGTGTACCTCTAATAGCATTAAGTATCCGAAGGCGATGTATACTGTTGACTATGCGACATTCATTCTCTAATTGCTCATCACTAAGCCCACGAATAGATTCTTTGTCTACGCCGGCGTTCAGCATTGAGTATGTGTATATAGTATACTCTGGTCCAATGCCCTGAAGAAAATCGTTCAAACTACTCGTGTCACGTGAAGTGTAGTCGGCCATTTTTTTCAATTGTTGAAGCTCTCGAGTGAATCTAAAAAATGCATGACATTGTATTATACTATGAATACACCTATCGTCTGAGTATGAATACGTTATTCGTGAAGGAATCATATCCTTTATTACAAAATATATATTTTGTAGTATTACCGTTTACGTTTGATTCCATTTTGCAAACCAATATCTTCTTTAAGATTTTCTTCTGTTATTTGTAGCAAAAGATCTCCGTCGACTCGACTCTCATAGAAATTAGTAGCATATTCCGAAAATCCTATTTGCTTCACCCATTCACGAACATCTTCTATTGACCATAGGGGCACTTGTTGTGACAACTTATGTGGCACTTCTTCCCCGATAAATCTTAAAGCTTGAGCGGCGTATTTAGACGCTACAGCGTTTGGACAACTTGCTACTTTCTTCAATGATTCTATAGCTCCAATTTCTCTGAATATTTCAGTATTTCCTTGGTGCTTTTTGATTCCAGCCTCCATACAGAAATGGAATGCTGCCAAGTTTCTCGCTTCTTCTCTCTTAGAACTCAAAACAGGAACCAATCTTTGCAACCAGTTTTTGCTTTGACCATGAGCATGAGCAAGGTTCGATTTTGCGAACTCAGAAGGGTTATGTGTAGTAACAAAAGGTTCTACTAAATCTAGTGTACCAGATTTTAAGACAGCAGCTTCGATTTCTTTATTGGCTACTAAGACTGCAATCGCTAAACAGGCGTAATACTTGATATTGTCATCATTATGGAACGCTAAAGGAAATAGCCACATAGGTACTTTCCTCTTTATCATTGCTTCTTGATTTTCCGCACCACCATAAAGTGAGAGATTGGCAAGGGCCGTTGCACAATGTCTCAAAGTTTCGACATCATTCTTTCTACATTCAAACAGTACTGCATCTAAACCTCCTAGTTTGATAACATCACTGCATGTGCTTTCACTGTGTTTGAACAAGTGTTCCAAGATTCCAGTGCCTATTCTTGAATGGTCGACTGAATTTGCATGTTTTGTACACACACACGCAACGTTCACAACTTTTTCTAGTCCGTTTTCTACTACATGAGCCCTATTTTCAGTCGTTAAGCATTGTTCCAGAAGTTTAGCTGATGAGAATTGCAAATCTGGGTTGCTGGATTCCAAACAGTTTTCCATTAAAATATCTAATCCACCAGACATCCTTAAAGTATTGCATAGCGAATATCCAAGCTCGTGTCCGTAGGTTGGCACAGCCCAAGCTCTTCTTAGCATTTCGTTTAATTTGTTGAAATGTTGTGATGCATTTTTCATATCCATTTGATTATTCTTTATCGATGAAATGAACGCATTCATTCGAGATGAATATTTCTGGATTGCCGTTTCAACATCAGCTTGATTTGAATTTCCGTTCAACCTATCCAAATCATCAAACGTCAGATTGGAGAGGTCTTCATCGCCTGGTTTTACGGTGCCATTCAACATTTGGCTCATCTGTAAAAATGACACAATAGGTTAATATACATATTTTATTAATTTAGTGCATGCAAGGTATTTAGACATAAAATAGATGTTTGAATATTACTGTAATTGTAAAAGTGACATGAAACCTACCTGTGAAGAAAGAATTGTTGACTTAGTTGACATATTTTTACTTGATATGGTCATATTAGACTGCGCAATACTAGAGTGTTCTTTATGGCTGAACATTCCGCTCGATGTGACAGTTTGACGAGCTTGTGCAGTAGCCATTGCCTTTTTCTCTGCACTAAAGGCTTCTGTTTGTAGTCGAGAGCTCGAGGTTGACATGTTATTAGCTTCTTGCGCTGACACTTCTCCTGCTCTGAGTGACCTCTGCTCCTAAAATCACATTTTCACTAATAAAAAAATTGTTGACCAAAGATCCAATTATTCCAAACACATAAATCATGTCACCACATTTTATTTCTAGAAAATTATAACAACACGTGACCTCCAAGAGGTGAGTTTCTTATCTTTTAAGTCACAATAACGTTTTAGCTCGATACATTTACGTGAATCACAAAATAAATATTTGATAGTTACAGCGATGAATATACGTAATTTGGGGCGTGAACGGCGCTTCGACATTTAGTACGACCGAATATTGCGACAACTTCTCCCGGAATGAAATGTTCTCTTTATATTAGAAATCCAGTCAACGTCACAACTCTGGATTATACATCCCATCGTTCGTATTGGATATAGGCCAATCGCGAGTATTTTCAAAACGGTTGTTTTTAAGCAGGTTGGGAGTTTAAATAAACATGTTATCGTTTAGAACCTCAGACTTAATAAATGGTCAAATCAAACTCTCACCAAAGGATTATGCGACCGAGGTGAAAAGCGTGACAGGACACCACGATGAATCGGCCACGGGGCCGACCCCCCGCCCGCAGACATTCCGAGTCTATATTTAAGACGAACTATTCGTGTACTTTTGCGCGCACGCGCATTAATTGACTTCCGTGTGTGTTCGCGCGCACGACGGTCAGGCACTGACTGAGAGTAGCGTGGTATAGCACAACGGCGATAAGCGGACGAAGATAAATGAGCTCACCGCCCTCGGTGATCCACCACGGCGCAGCATCTTGCCCGCAAAAGCTATTATGCGGGCGGCCATACCGAGTTAACAACTACATGAGATTTTTGAGTATTTTTTTAAACAATATATGATCTTGGTTGTTATCGTTCCAAGTAGCCGCTCAGTACTGCGCGTTTTGGGGTAGCGATGTTCAGGCGGCGCTCTAGACTATTGATCTGTTGGAGCCATGCGAGGTCACGTCCTTCGGCGCGCCTTTATTACGTGAGGCAAGTGCTTGCTTGCTTGCTAGTTTAGGATTTTTAATAGTGGTACAATTATGCATAATCGTTTCGATGAAAACTATACTTTAATATTTCTATACTCAATTGAATTTTACGGGTCCCCTATTTGATTGTGTTATTGTTATATTTAAACTAACGGGTTATTTCACAGCATAAGCAGAACAATACGAAAAGATATTTTGAAATCGTTTGAAAAAAAAGTTAATTAACATAGTTCTTACTTGAAGATAGGCTGCATTTTGCTCAGCCGTGAGCCCTTCAGCTTGCAATAATCGGTGAGATGCTCCAGCAGCACTGCGTTCCGCATAATGTACATCACCGTGTTGTAAACGTCGCATTTTTGCACTGTTCGCTGCTGATCTTGAAGCACTATATCCATCGGCTACAACACGAGTTGAGCTTGCAGAAGTTACACGAGCCGTACTGTATTTCAACTCGTTTGCAGCGTTGGAACCAATTGATGCCGTGCTTGCTGTTAGCAAAGAAGGCTTGTCGACAATGGGAGGAGGAGTATCGGATTCAGGAAAAGTCACCAACGGGCCTTCTGCAGATAATTCGCTCATATCACCCATGTCACCAATGTCCCCCATGTCACTCAGGTCACGAATATCCAAATGTTGGTCTGCTAATTCATCTTGATCAACAATATTTTCCATTGAACTTCTTAACCTGAAATTTCCAAGAATATCCATATGCTATAAAATGTAAGCAAATGACTGACAACAAAAAATGTTAGACAGTTTCCTTTGAATTCACACCACTTTGTTGTATGTAATTTAACTAATATTTATTTGGAAAAATCTCTCAGAAGCCGTGTTGTTGCTATTGTTTGTCGGTATGGTACTGCAAACATAGAACGGGGAATGAGCGGGTGAAAATTGGCTGAGGGCCAAGGCCACACAGGTGAGTAGTTGTAACCGTCTGTGTAATGTTATGGCATTATGTGCGTTAAGAAATGTTCATTCTTACTGACCGTCCTCCAAAATTTCGTGCTGCTGTGTTGCTTAAGTTCTTCATTTCAGAAATCGAACTTTTCAATTCTGTGAGATCGGATTTCATCGAACTGGCTTTCATTTCAGAGGTGGTCATATGTTGGAGTCGTTGCGACGAGCTCTGCACACGCTGACTCGTCGCAGCGCTACTGGAGGTCGTACTAGAAACCATCTGTAAGAAAACGTAAATTAATTACCATTTAATCAAAATAAATATGATTTGTTCATTTATGTATTAATGAAATAATAATAACCATAACACAGCGGAAGCATTATATAGAGACTACAGATAAAACAAATAATCTGTTATATAAAATACTTTATTAAGATTGATAAACATCCAAATATTTTCAACTTTCCTTGAATTTAATTTAAAACACTAGCCGTCTTGTTCGCGTGAAATCGTTATCAAGACTAGGTCTGTCTCCGTGTGTTCAGTGCCAATGCTACTGAAGACCGTAAGAAAAGCGCGTCACGCGTCTTGGCGCAACTACGACTGGAGTAAATAAAGCTAGTGCTATGACAAAACACGATTACCGAAATAACTTTACTTTTTATATTTAGCTCAGCGAATTTGTTGTAAAATGATTCAAGTATTGACAGCTCGCCTGTCCGGCCCGTTTGTTATACATACGTCGTCGTGTGTAGTGTACTCATTTGTGTAACACAGCACTTTTGTTAAGATTTTAAGATTGCAACCGAGCTACTTTATTATCGATTAATGCGCATGTAGCAGAGAGGAAAGCAAATGAAGGTACAGAGCGGTGTAGTAGTCTTCCTAAAGATCTCCTATTATCACAGTTAGTGCAATACACTTGTACTGTTAAAAACTTTTTAATGCATTTTGTAACGTCAGGTGCCTTTAACTGAATTACTATTTACTCTAAACTACTTAAGCACTGTCCGTTGGAGAGAGGTGGAGAAGAGACATACAAAAAATGACGGCAACATGAAATTGTTGGAATACTCTTCAACTATGGCATAACACTTTATTCATAATAAAAGCAAGGTAGATACAATAGTGGTGATCATAGCCATTAGGCATTATAGTTGGTCAATCTGAAAATTGGTAGTAGGAGCGTATGAAAGTGTCATGTATAACACGATACACTAATGTGGTGTTTTTTATATATTTACTATTAAAGATTTTCTACGGAGATGTTTGTTATAGAGAAGTGCAGCTGAATTTAACAAGTTGGTGTGATTAAACTCAATTTTTGTAAACCAACATATTTCCTGTTATTAATTAACGTAATTTAAATAAAGACAGACACAGTAATTACACAAAAAGCAACACCCAAAAGCAGAGAGGTGCATAGAACAAATAAAAACGTAATGGTTGCTTCATATTGCCTATGTATAGAATAAAAATGTTATTCTGAGAAATATAGTTCGAGATTTGGCAGCAGACTACGTGATTGAAAAGCAAAACGAATGAATCATTTCGTGTGGGTGAGATGCAACAAATCATGGCCTTGAACCCCGTGCCCAAATTTTGGTATGGTTTCGTTCGTTCTTTATTCTTTGCCATCGGAGAGTTCATGCGTGGGGGATCCAGTACAGTCACGGTTCATCTACATAAACTATGGATTCGTGAAACGCATTCTTATGAGATTTGGAATATTTTTAAATACTAATACTAAAAATTAGGGAAAAAATTCAAGTTACAAGCATACAAGTTGTTATTGGGTGTATTGTAATCTAAAAGTTAAGCCATTTAATTTGATAGCCATATTGGGTAAGTTGTTCGGAAATAAATTAATTATAATATTATTAATTGACTTCAAAATCCAAAAGAGGAGGTTATATTTTTTATTTATGTTCACCGATTTTCAAAATTATTATTTTATTCGATAGCTTAATGGACCGAAGTGGTCCCATTTAAATTTTATCGAAATCTAATCAGTAGAATTTCCTCATACAACAAAAAATGCGCTTTTCACCAAATATCATCTAAATATTTAGTTGATGGGGTAAAGCATGACCCTTTCCAGCTAAAAATCAAAAGATTGCGTATTTGGAATACATTCAAAATGTTAATTAATCAAATTTTCTATATATTGTGAACCAATTTCTATCAAACTATCTGTTTCCCTGCGACTTCGCCTGCGTAAATATAGCCTATGTCCAACGCGTATCGAGTACTTTCCCGTGGATGAGACTCATAAATCAGTCCAATAGTTTCGGATCCTATCCAATGCAAACAAACAAGTAAACCCATCTTTACTCTACAATATGAATATAGAATTATTGGAAAAAATTATGCCGGGCAAATAAACAAAATCTTCTTTTCAAGACTTTTACTGTGTTGAATATTTTTATTTTTATAGGTAATTAATATTTTTAGTGATACCTATTATTAAAAAAAAAATAGCAATATCACTAAAAAGCATGAAATAAAAGTTAAAAATAATAGAACCGACTTCAAACTTTAATATAAATAATACTTAATTTTAAAACTACTTATTGAAAATTTCAGTTCAAACTGAGACTGAAAAGTTGGTAAAATTTAGCTTACAAGATTTGATTACAGAAATACTAACATCGGGACAGATGAAACTAAATAAAAGTAATAATAAAAACAATTAGATAGTACTTAATCTACACAGATGCAATATTGTAACCAAGGTTGTGTGTAAAGACAAAAGATATCTAGGTATTTTCCGCCCGGCAATGAGATAGATAAGCTCTGAAACAGGATTTTGGTGACTTCTTTTACGTTCAGGCAGGCAAGCAGAGTCGAATGTATTTAATTGTCTCGATCTATTGAAATAGACTCAAATAGTTACTTAATATCCACTATTGTAGTGCTTTTATCTATGCAAGTATTCGTACCTAAATAGTTTGTGCAGACCCCGTTTCAATATGGCCCACAATAGCCGTCCCACGCCAATAGAGCTTTGGTTGTGCGTATTTACAATTTATTTATTTTTCCGAAACTAGTTGGGCGAATTCAAAATAAACTAGACATTAAATGAACCCACCGGCACCGAGGCCGACACCGAAATAACTAGATCCTATTTATAAAATGTACACGTGTTACGAGAATTTAAATAATTTTGACATTATTACAATAACGTATTACCTATTTAAATATGGTTTGTATGTTACATACATTTTAAATTGTTTCGCGATAATACGATTTTCAAAGATTTTTTTCAATAAACCTTTTCTGTGCATAGTTATTTTATCGTATAATTACTATTTATATCTTTGTGTTTGTTCTTCATCGTCATCTTAAGTCAGATCCCTCCAGTTAACTATAACAGAATGCTTACTGGTATTAGTCTGCTATTTATTCATTATTCTCTATTTAATAAGATTTAAATAGGCGTCAAATGAAAATTTATTAAATTTTTCTCTCTAAGTACCTATAAAAAAGTTTCTATAAGTTAGGTAATAGTTTCTTTATTATCAGGAAGTCCACGAATGATACTTCGCGGATCCATTTCAATATCAGTATGATATGGGTATTTAATAATTTAGCGTCGATTCTTGAAAAAATAAATGGTGTTATTCAAATCAAATATGAGAGAAAATTGAAAAACCCTTATAACTGAAACCGAACACTGCACTTCAGTGCACATCTAGCGATGTCTATACTAATATTATAAAGAGTTATTTACCTTACCTTACGGTTTACGGGTAGCTACATCATATACAGTGGACGTAGGCTATATTTTAATTCCTAACAACAGCAAATAAAGGGATGAAAATGGGGAGTGGTAGTTTGTATAGGGAATCAACAAGTTACCATAGTAACCATTGTTTACTATTCAACTTGTTTACTATATTTGCGTCATGATATAAATCGATATTCAAATAAACAGATCCCTAAGGAGCTCGCGGGCGACACCGCTGGCGGAAAGCTAATTGTAAATAAGTTACCTGTTGAGCAGAGCTGGTAACTTGGGTGTTGAGGCTTTGATTCTGTCGGGTGAGCAGAGAACTCTTTTTCAAGTTCTCCATGACGGAGGCGAGGTCTTTGGCGCTGCCGTTGTGTTTCAAACTGTTGCCATCTAGTGGAATCTGTAACAATAAGTTTTAACATTTAATAAAAACAACAGTCAGTACCCTCGAGAATAGCCGTGTCCTTACTTTGATAGATGAAATGTCATTACTGGTCAGTAAAATAAGCTCGAATCCAGATTTCAATAACAGTATTAAGTTTAATTAACAAGGTCTCAGGACTTCAATGGTTTTCAATGTTTTATGTTGAGAAAAAAATCTTATTCAAGTAGAAAAGAAAATTACTATAATTTAATATAACATTAATATCACCTAATTTCTCAAAGGTTGGTAAATATTTTTGAACGTTAACATCCAATCTATGAGATTCATCTCGTATCTCGGCCATTACCTATCTTAAATCTGAGAATCATTTGATTCGTTGGGACGTTTTAATTTGCTGTTCTAGGAACATTTAATATAGTTTAACAGCTTCAAAATCAGCACAAGGCTAATAGAGTGAACTGTTGATCCTGCTGAATAGGGTCAAAGGAACCATTGGTATCGAACAGTGAGGTGAGTCACTGGAGAGCCCGGTTATCGATTAAGAATGCTGCTCACGCGCCTGCGTGTCGGACGAAATGTAACGCACAGCGCATACTGATGAAGACAACAGCACATCCTCACTTCCATTACGTCGGTTCGTACTTTCCACTATTCCTGATTTAATAAAAAGTTTAAATCAAACTTAATTTATAACCTCACTAAGGTTTTACGTCTAAGGAGAAAAACTTTAGGCAAGGTAAAAAAATGTGGCTGATTCGGCATCAGTGTAAATTAAATAAATAAATATGAAACTAGCAACTACGCCCGCGAATATTATACTCGTAGTATATTGGCACCACCGTATAATATAGCTTCCCGTAGAGGGAAAAAAAACGGTCCAGCACTTTCGGAGCCTATTCAATGTAAAGTAAAAAAAATTATCCTCTCTATAATATTAGTATAAATTTAGTGACGGTGGCATGTCGAGAAGAGTCCAACATGTAGGATAAAATAGTATAATCAGTTTAGAAGAGAAAGCCATAGGAAATTCGTATATGCAGTGGAGTTTACCAACCTAATGTGGACTACACGTCTATTAATTTGTTTACAAGTCATAATATTTAGATCTCCCATCTTTGCTATTCTATATAATAATATCCTACACGGCGTTATCGTAGAATTAGAAGTTCAATTAATCTTGAAGTTAGTTTTATGACAGAATATGTCTTTATTTCTACACGACCTATTTTGCCTCGTACATAGAATAGAAACTTTTTTTTATTTATTATAAGAGAGCCGATTTATTATACGAGAGTCTTTTGTTTGTAGTAGGTACTTGCACATCAATTTAGCTGTTTAAGTGTCAATCATAATATTCAAAGGCGTCATCAAGTACACCAGATGAAGACAAGACAATATATTGTTAGATCATGTGTCAGACGCGTAGGCAGATTAAACTTCAGTCTTTGTGATGATTTTATGTATTAAAACATGATATATATCCACACTAGCTTAACGGCGTGTCGCGTCCGCGTGGTTTTGCGCGATGACAGTACATTTATAACCTTTTACCTTATGGAAACGGTTAGTGGAATAAAAATAGCCTACATATTAACTCAGGCTTAGAATTATCCGCATACCCAATTTCAGAGAGTGAAAGATTAACAAACATACATCAACACACAAACTATCTCATTAATAATATAGGATAGGAGTGTTTACACTAGTTATCACTTGAATTTATATAATTACATCTATACTAATATTATAAAGAAGAAATATTTGATTGTTTGTTTGTTTGCTTACATAGAATAGGCTAAGAAGTTTCTGGGCCGATTCTAAAAATTTCTTCACCTAGTGTGCTATAATCTACACGTGGCATTTTTTAAATAACTGTAAACCAGGATATAGTCTTTTTCAAAATTCTCGGGGCATTTTTTTAAATAGGTACAAAGAAAGTTTCATTATTGTTTTAATACTAAACTTAGTAATAATTTATAATTATTACTGCATTTGTAAAGCAAAGAATTCGATTTATATATGTGACTCACAATAGGTGGGTGTTAAGAAAATCAAATGAAGGAAATATTCATAAGGCAGTAGTAAAACTAAACAAGCTTCTGACGTAGTCATCATAATAAATTCTAATTAACTTTGATTGATCGTGTCATATTTGCATCAATAACTGTTGGCATTAATGAATCCTTATCAAATTACATATACTGTCAGAAACATTACATAGAAATTGAATTAAAAGATTTACTGATTTTCGCACACGTATTATTTCTTTTAAGGCTCTACGTAAAGATAGAAAAGAAAACGGGACGACATCAACGCGTCCAATAATGAAATATACAGAGAAATAGAATGATGACATATTGCGCGTTAAATCCAACTTTTAATTAATAACTCGCACATCATTACGTTTATTGTGAAAAGGAGTAGGTATAATAAGATTAAAACATTATTGTACAGTATTGTACGGTATAGAAATTAATAGAATACAATACAAATATAAAATCGTAATTGCATATTAGACGGTCTTATCGCTTGTCAGTAGACGAGAAGAAATTGTAAAAATTGTTCCACTGTATTTTTATCGAAAAATTTTATTAATTCGCATTTTGACTGTGACAGTCCTTAAAAATTTAGTTAGAGATATTTTCTAATAAAACTTATTTTAAAGTCATTTATTTGTAAAACTAAGTGATTCTTACTTAACGTGCCCTCTTAAGGCAAACGTATAGATGTATTTCTTTTATCTAGACGATTTTGCATAAAGAATTCTTTATAAAAGAAACTCTGACATAAAAATAGAAGAATTTATGATAATGCGCCTAGGGTCTAGTCGAATGTTCGTTCGTCATCAAGTGACGCTTACCGACGCTAGTGACGATGATGTCAGTCCCGCGTCGGTATCGTGGCGTCACCACTCGCGTAATCAATTGATATGACACGATACGATTATTTTTGTATACACTCCGAAAGTTGAACGACACAAAGATCTTTTCGCGGGAATATTAGTGGGAAATGTTACGGAATAATATGATATTTTCCTTGGAGCATCATTGCCAAAGCAAGGTATGTAACTGTAAAAAAGACCATGTTTGTGGTTCATCTATGACTCTCGTGAATTTAAAAGTTATTTAAAAAATTGTTATAAAGCAAAAACGCCTGTTTTTAGTTATTATGTAATTTACGTGATTTTGCCAGCGACTTCGAGTTTCAATAACTAACTTCCATTCAAATTCCCTTTTCTTCGCGTTAAAAGGACCATTTGTCCTTTGCCGAGGTCAACTGTGTACAAAATTTTAATTAATTCGGTTCAGTGATTTAGGTGTGAAAGCGTAACATACAGACAGAGTTCTTTCACATTTATAATGTTAGTAATACTTTTACGTGTTGAGATCATTGATTGCATGAGTTATCCCAAATCTATGAGTAATTGTGAGTGCAAAAAAATATCATGTAACTCGCATAACAGGTCAACAGAGTTGGTATGAGTCATGAAGTCACTACGTGGAACTGTCGTCACTACTCCCGACATCAAATATTTGATGGGAGACGTTTCGATTGAGTAACAGATATGTTGTAAACAGTTATATGAATGAACAAATTGCATTTGTTTACGTCACCGGATTTCATTTTGATAAGGTTTAAGATAACCACGTCTTTTTTGCGTATCAAACAAATAAATTAAAGAAGTATTTAATATACTAGAAATTTAAAAAAAAATGTCTAGTCTAGCAACATAACATCGATAATTGCGAATAGTTGTGTTTCATCAGATTATTATTTAAAAATATTATGAAATTTTTGAAAATAAAATAATTTTTTAAAAGATCATCGACCGATTATAGCATCTCATAGAATGAAATATAGATACAGATTACATAATAAAACAAAGTTGTTTCCGCTGTTTGAACGCTGAAATCTTTTAAAATATACATTCATCTATACACAGAGTGATTCTTTGGATTGAATGGAATGGAATAATATATAATGGGCCATTATCTTCCACATTGGCCCAAAGCGGAATGGGAGGTATTAACGACTGCAAATGCAGTCGGCACCGACGGCTTAGCGTGCCTTCCGAAGCACGGAGTAGCAAGAGATAATATTTTTTTGGCCACCCATCCCCTGATTAATATGTGTTTATTATAGTACCAATAATATTTTTTTATTTACATAATAACCTTTATTCCTATCTAAGTATTTTATTGACATAAAATTTTGGTGAACAGATGGTGAGATAATACGGAACTTCAAAACACCAAAGATGTTTCCACCAAGAAACACCAGAAGTGATCCTCCCATTTGTGAAGTCTGAAGTTTGGAACGGTAAGTAATTTTCTGTTAATATGGGTGTAGATGATAATTATATGAATATTTAATGCTTTTACTTCCTACATATTTTTGAGATATGAAACTGCAAAAATTCTCTCTTTTGTCGTTGTTGGCCACAAATATTAGGTGCCTAGGGGTTGAAGTATATTTGGTGAGTAAAGTCAAAGTTTACTGTGTAATATGTGTTCACCAAATAAATTTTCGTTAAGTAAATGTTTACACTATATCGTAATATATCCAAACATCAAGATTATTTTAGATCAATGAACCGCATTGTGTATATACTCCTACAACGTTAAGAAACCTACTTATAAAAAGATAATAAAACTTATTTAATTTACGATATAGAGCTGAACAGGAACTGTTTATGTGTGTCTATATAATTATCCTTTTTTTGTGTAATAAAGAGTATTTATTATTATTATAACATATCGGCTCCAATTTAATGTAAATATATTCCAGTGTAGGTATATCTACTACGTATAATGGCGGCACTTACATCTTTGCAAATATAGATCAGTTGCTATCTTTTTTCCTCAACGAGTTTAAATTTAGTCCATGTACCTTTACGTATGCATTATGCCTACATACTTATATAATATCCTTTTCACTGTAGAGGAAATTGTTTGAATTGAAAACAGTAATATAGGGACACTAGTGTCTCCAGTATACATGTAATAAAAGTATGT